GGAAGCATGGAATCAAATCATCAAACAAAAAAAAAGCATCCTAAAAACAACAAAAAAAGATGATGACAAAAATATTAGAGCACGTGCTTTTCAACTAAAGTTGATGACAATTAAAGGGGCACCATGCAAATCAACCACCCAAGATAATAATAATGTCAACAAACATGCGATAAAGGTCAGCCTCCTCCATGTTACATCTTATCTTTAACTACATATATGATGAATCATTGAAAATAAGGCTCAAAATTTATTCCCTATTAGGAAACCACGTTATTTGCGTATAGTTCTTATGCACACAATTTACACACTCAAATAGATATAAATAATAGGAAATTTCTTTTTCCTGGGAAGATACAAATTGAACCTTCAGAACTCACAGGTTTAGTGATCCTCAATCAGTACATATGAATGTTAACTGTAATACAGACCAATACAGACCATAATGAAAACAATTTCCCAACGGAAACAGACAACTTGCACCTGCACGTAGCTTAAAGATATGAAGGTTGCGCTTGATTTCAAGCATTTTGGTTGACCCCTGGCTGTCTACTTTCTTCCATCTTCTGCCGCATCTTATGTTGTAAAGTAGCTGGTGCACAATCCAGTGGTGTTTCCCCTGTAAGTACAGGTAACAAGCAGTTCATATTAGGAGCAAAAAGCTTAGACCATTCCCACAATGCATAAAAGTAAAAGCTTCCTCAATGCAAGTGCACAACCAAGCATGAGATAAATAAAGTATAATTCTCGGTGACAACAATGCTCAATGTAACTGACAAATAGACATAAAAAGTACGTAATCTGAAGTAGTTTCCAATAATAGGAGAATGAGAAGAATTTATTTCAAAGAAAAAGGAGACCGAGAAGAATAATAAAGAATGAACACCTTCTATTAACGGTCTTGATTATACTTGAAAAGTTTTAATTATTTAGATTAACTGAAAGAGATGTTTACCAACCCTTGGAATTTGAAAATTCCAGTAACCTTAAAGCTGTGCCTCGTATTAACTCCAATGCATGATCTATGTCAATGCTTAATTGTATCAATGCACGATCTATATCAATACTTAATTGCATCCGCTAAATAACCTTACCTGTGCCTACAAAACCTTTAGTAGTACCTCGTTGATCAATATATCGGTGGAAATAATAACATGATTATTTAAAATAGGATTAACTACCTTGTGCATTCTTATAGTCCATGCTTGCGCCATATTCCATGAGAATAAAAGTTATCTCAGTTCGGTTAAAAACTGCAGCCTGAAAACCATCAATCCTGATGTTAGTGTTAAATTTTTTTTATTCACAAATGCAATATTCACTCACAAGAGACATGGTTGTGCGACAGGGAGAGAACACTACCAGATGCAGCAAAGACAATCCCTGCTTGTCATGGTAATTTGCATCCACACCCTGTCAATGTTATAATGGTCATTCTCAATAGGTTGGCTAACTGATATTCATTTACAAATCTTCGTCCTAATATAAGCAGTTTAGTCTTACTCCCAAATTTAACTCATGAGATAAAACCGGTAAATACCTCTCCCAGAAGCTTTCTGACAGCAGCAACATCACCGTTCTTTATGGCCTCCCTCAAACCCTTTCCATACCACACACGATACAGAGATACAAGCATAGAATTACTTCATCTGACTAGTATAATACTTCTTCAAATAGGGATCTTTCTTATAACTTGCTTAAAGGATTTAAGTTTATACCTCCCCATTGACTTCATAATCCATTTGGGGTATATCTGTAGTACCATTGCTCACTTGGCCATGATTGAAAACCGAACTGCAGATATTGCACAACTTAGTTACCAACAAAATCCTTAAGCAAATAGACAAATTCCAAGGCCAGGTATACTTTTTTTTCCAAACAATATTATTTAAAAAGCGCCAAGGAAGTGTCACTCATGTACAACTGAATTTACAGAGAAGTGAAAAAATTATGAATCTCTCCATCAAGGAGAGCATGACCCTTGAACTAAATACACAAGGTCTGGAATCAGTGACCTCCATTCTACCAGAAATAGTAAATGCTCTTCGAAAACTCTTTTATTTCTTTCATTTCAAATGACCCAACACATAGCAAAGGAGATGAGATAAACTACATCTTCCTTGTTTCGGCCACCTGAAAACCATCCCATGCTCACAGTTTGTCTGCAACCGGAGACACAACTGCGCAACGAATATGAAGAAGATTGAGAGCTAATTTTTCAGAATTCTAGCTTCTTGACTTTGTAGAACAAGATGCTACAAAATGCAGGTTTATTAGAGGGTGCATGGGGGAAGCATGCTGCAGTATGGTATAATACTTTTAGGCCTATGGAGTTTTTTTATTATAAGGAGCATTCTCATAAACTTAAGTTCTTCCAGTTCCACTACATATTAGAAAAACCCTACTTGTAAGAGGTGGTTCTTCCTATAGTGAAAAGTATTTTGCAGGTTGTTCCATGGAGTGGGCACATCGCCAACCACATCAAAATTCTTTTCTTCTTTCTTTCTCTACCGCTTTTACTTTAATATTTGTGCATTTTGAGGGTATTTCTCAATTAAAATGTCTCTATGACATATATAAAAGCAAGAAAACAAGTAGCCAACATTACATTATTAATCCATGACTCCTTCCAAAGAGGAAAACAAGAATCTTCACTCACCGTCAAACTATGGGGATAAAGAACCATAGAAACTCTTGATAGCTTTCCAAGGGCTACTGTAAGTTGTCAAAGCACTAACTTAAAATTCCAGCCATCCTGATGCAATCCAAACTTCATCTTAATCATCTTTTGCCATAAAGAATTTGCCTCCAAAGGAAACACCATAGCTATTTAGGCTTTAACCACTCTACAAATTTTCTACATTTGTTACAAATATAGCTTTCATATGTAATTATTATTAAATAATAATAAATTCTTAAAATTACTAAATAAAATATTAGTTTGACAGTACATTTTTATGACCATAATATAACTAAAAAAAGAAGTGGGATTAAAATAAAATCTCTGCATATTAAATGAATTAATATACAAACTTTCCAAAAACAAATTACACGTTCTAGAAAAGAGTGTCTATTAAGTTGCTTTTAATGGATAAAAAAATTAATATTATATTCATGTTGTTTATTGAGAATTGGAGGAAATATTATTAGGAAAAATTGGAAATGCGCTAAAAGTTGGTTTTTTTTAGATAAAAGAGAATTATATTAATAAAAAGACTCCAATGGAGAGCCACCCATGTACAATATATATTTACAAGTCAAAGAGCATATCAACAATTGCTCCCAAATCATCAAAAGTATGTACTTTGTGTTCCAAAAAGATGGAGCCAAAATAATGCAGCCATCTATCTTTGATATTTACAAAAGAGTCTTCTCTACCCTCAAAAACTCTATTGTTCCTTTCCTTCTAAAAAATCCAGAAAATAGAAAATGGAATGAGACGTGCCGCAGGAGAATTTGGAGAAAGACCCTCCCAAGCCAAAAACTCTTTACTAATAGAACCCGCCATTACCCAATTAATACCCATTAGGCTGTAGAGATAAGAGACCAAAGTTTGACAGAGAAGGGACACCAGAGTAGGACAAATGGAAGGACAAGGGACACCAGTTTGACAGAAAAGTTATTCTATGAAGCCTCTGAAAAAGACATGGTGTCTTTCACCAATCGGCCAAAAAAAGTTTTAAATGTAACTTAAAAAAATTTCTAATGTTTTTTTAAGTCATTGAAAATGAAAAGTAATTTTTATTAACATGCCAACTTGCATGCTACCTTTGTGATGCTCACTAAGTCTCACCTATTATAATCGTTCATCATTAATGGTTACTATGTATTGTTAACGAGTTATAATAGGTCCAGCATTTAAGCTTCAAACCTCAGAAGCCTTATCCCTTGTATTCATCCCTTTTATTGCCCATAGTTAGATGTCCAAGGATAGCTCATATCTAAATCAATAGCTTCTGCATCAAAATTCAATATCCCCCTTCCACAAGAGGTGAATATACATAAAAAAGCCAAGTCATTTCCTAAAGACTGAAATTTTCGACATAACTAGTTACATAATCAATTGTTTGACACAATATCTAAGCGTAGTTCCAGTTCAGACTTGTGGATTATGAGTCATAATCTAACGACAACAAAATAGGGTCCTGTCACCAAATAACAAATCACTATGAAAAAAGGATCACAAAATACATACACCATGTTGGTTTTCACTACAAAAAGAAAAAAACTCCAGAAACACAATTCACACTTCTCTGTTTGTGAGAAATACCTTATTCAATTTGCTACTTTGAAGCTTAAGAATTGCATCAAAAAAATAACACCTGAGCTCAAAACACGTCAGCTTAGCAGCCTTAAACTGATTTTCACATGTAACATACTTCAATAGGAACCAAACATATAGAATAGATAGACACATATATGTCGGACCATGACAAGGAGGATTAGAATGTCTTTTCAGAACTCAAAACCATTGAATCCAAAGATATAGCTAAACATTAATCCACTAATAGAGAGAGACATACAGAATTATTTGAAATTATTCATTATGTCTGAAAAAATATAGATTGAATATAAGAAACAAAAGATAACATGCCTAAGTTTGCTTTTTGATGTGGAACCTCTATTTCTCATAGCAGACTCTGCCCTTTTTGGTTTTATATTTGATTGAGATGTGGATGTTGTAGTTGTCTGTGCAAAAATAGTTGAAGTGTGTGAGTACCATGGATTGCAAAGAAGAAATATCTAGAACTAAAGAAACACTAGTACCTGTGGAGGAACAACATCTATGCATGGAGTGGGAGCTTCACAAATACATAAAGGCATCCCACATTTGCATTCCAAGACAGCTACAGCAGGCTGATGCTCTACAGCTGCTTCAGTTTTTGGTCTTACATCTACACCAGTTCCTAATCTAGATACCTCGTCTATTACAGACTCAATTTCGTCTGGAGATGCCTGTGGATAACCGCTTGCAAATCTGGAAAAGAAAGCCATGGTTGAATGATAAAGTACTATCAGAATAATGTCGTCAGGACAATGTGAGAGAAGAAAGGACCACATGTTTCTGCAGAGCCCACCAGCTCATTTGCAGCAAATATCTGATTCATAGAACAGTACAAAATGAGGAAAAAGAATCATGAAGCCAGACGGCTTCTTTTAATTCAGTTAGAAATCTTGAAGACGAAAAGAAACCTTGCAAAGAAATTTATTAATTTGCGAAATTGAGTTTAAAAATTTTAATATCCACTGATAAAATAAAATTCTGGTTTTCCCAGAAGTAGTGAGTTTTTTTCTCTTGAGTAGGCCTGATCATGATATCAAAGTATGACTTCTTAACAGATTACATGGATAATATAAACTTAGTACTTTGACAACAGCAAAATGATAATATAAACATGGATAATTTTTTTAAAAAATAAATAATATAAACATGAATAATACAAAAGTAAATTGAAACATAACAACACTAATGTAAAAACAATTCCTAAATAAAACCCAAACTCCTAATTTACTAAATATCTAATTATGCAAATCTCAATATGAAATAAATTACTAAAAGATTCCTGAACCCTAATTAATGTTAAAGCTCTTCTTTTACATATTCCTGCATCAATTCCTCCAGGGTGGAGAAGAACTCAACTCCAGAAAGAATATGTGTGGCCTTGGACAGCAAGCTCTTCTTCAGTTAAATGTCCACATTGCCATCAGGATCTTCGTCTCGAGCTGATCCATGCGAAATTTTTGCAGAGGCAGTGCAGTTGGGTCCCGATGGTATAAACCGGGCAAAGAAGATAATACCCGACCCGAACCACAGTCACAACTCATTTGAATTTCAAATGAGGTTCGGTAATCGAGGACCACTGACACAAACAACAAACCATCCCCTCCTTTCGGCTCAAGCCCGGACTCTACATGCCCTGGTTGGAACAGAAAAAATGGAAACAAAAAAGATGGGTCAAAGCCCAAATTCTCCTTGGCGGAAAAAGATAAATGGATAGATCATATTGGGCCAAGCAAAGATGCTATAAAACTTTTCAAGAAGCCCGGTATTAGAGTCCAAAAAACCCAACGGGTCTGGAGACCCAAGCACCCAATCCGTGTCAATCCTTTACTCTCGGGCAAAAACCCCATCACCACATTTCGACCAGAAAGCATAGATAGGTAAAAGAAGCATCTTCTGGCAAGAGGAAGAAACCCTAAAAGCAACAAACGTGAGCCTCTCGGTAAGCTCTTCAGCAATTCTTGACACGAAAATGTCCAGTGAGACCACTCTTGCTCCTGAGGGGACTGAGGTAACCAGCGGCACAAATGGGATTCCAGGCGATTGTCCTTTACCTTCCTCCCCTACTATGCTAACGGGGCTAGGTTTGGTTCTTATTCCAGACCCAGTGCTCTCTTTACCACCAATCATGCCAGTTGGACCGTGTTTGGCAATGACTGAGCCTGCTGAAGCGAATGCCCACAGTGACAAGCAATTCTATTCTACATGGTTCAGACACAATATACTTAGAGTGAGTAAGCTCCTAGGGTCACTTTTGAAGGTTGCGAAGAGCAAGTGATGGCTCTGTTTGCCCTCGAAAAAAAGAAAGGGGACGGGACAGCCAGTAAGGGAAAGAAAAAATTGATTGAAGGAGGAGCCCAAGAACTAAAAAAGACTGCAATTTTCCATAAATCATGAAGGGAGAAACAAAAATGCATCCAGCAGTGGGGGAACGGTCAATGAAACCCGATGATCAACAAAATAATATCGTGGAATGTAAGAGGTTTAAATGACTCAAAGAAAAGAAACATCATCAATAGGTGCATGAACCAGTGGAAACCAGATTTGATTTGCCTATGGCCTCCATGGAAAAGAAAACAGTCAAAAGTGTGTGGAATATTCAAAATGCTGATTGGCTCTTCCTATCGGCGAACAACACAGCTGGAGGTATTCGCATATGCTGGAAACAGACATGGTTGAATGCATTACTTCGTAACAGGTGATACTTCTGTTTCATGCCTATTTGTCAATAAAAAAAATAATGATGGATGGTTCTTTTCTGATATTTACTGCCGGAATAATGCATCGGATAGAGAAAAATTATGAAATGAGTTACTCCAATGTCAGAACAGATGGGTGGGGTAAAAGGGGTGGTGGGTGGTAATTTCAACATGGTTCTGCATCGAAATGAGAGGTCGGGTGATAATTTTTCTGTTTCAGTGGCTCAGAATTTCAAAGAAATATTAACAGCCTTGGTCTGGAAGACATTCCACTTAAAGGGAGGTTGGACCTGGAATAAACGAAGGGACCAGCCTTCTTTTTCCAGAACCGATATATTCTTGGTCTCTATCGAGCTTCTTCTGTCTCTCCCGGGTCTCAGTCAAAAGGTACTCCCTCGCCCTATCTCTAATCATTTTGCTATATGCTTAACTTCCTATGGGATTCAATGGGGGTCTATCCCATTCTGATTTGACAAGTGACTTATAGTGAACAGTTCTAAGTCCATGATCAGCGAGATTCGGAATCAGCCGGTTGAGAACGGCACTGCAAGTTACAGGCTCCCCAAAAACTGATCCGGCTCACAGGAAATTAAACAGCGGACAAAGGAAGTGGGTATGAAAGATGAGAACAGAACCAATGACCTTTTGAACAAGCTGGCTGATCTGGAAAAAATGGCAAATGATTCTGACCTATTTACAGAGTACAGTGAAAAAATAAATATCCTGAGAGAGGAACTTGCAAACAGGCTTCACATGGAAGCAATTTCCTGGAAGCAGAAAGCCCAAGAAATTCGGATAAAAACACAAAATTCTTTCACTTTTTGGTGAACCATAGAAGAAAGATAAATTTTGTGGAGGAATGTTTTTGTCAATGGTAGCCTGGTCAGCAGTAATGAGGCCATGAGGGAAGCTCCAAAAAACTAATTCAAAATTTTATACTAAGAAGCTGTTGAGCAAAGACCAAGACTCGAAAATATCTATTTCATCAATATTAAGGAGGCTGACAAATCACTTCTTGAAGGAGAATTTTCTGAAGAAGAAATTTTTTATTGTCTGAAAGAGAGCGACCGGGACAAAGCATTCGGGAACGATGGACTCAACTTAAAATTATTTCAAGAATTCTAGTATGTGATAAAAAAATAAGATATTATTAATTTCTTTAAAGACTTTAACAAGAATGGATCATTTGTTAAATCCATCAATTCCACATTTCTTATCTTGATCCCCAAAAAAGAAGGGGCCAACAGTTTTACTGACCTTATACCAATAAGTCTAGCGGGCAGTGTTTATAAACTATTATCTAAAGTGTTGCCTAGAAGGCTCTCTGTTAAACTCAATTATCGGGGAATGTCAACACACATTTGTTGAAGGTAGGCAAATTACTTATGTCATCTTGATTGCTAATGAAGTAATTGACGAACTTATTAGAAATAAAATAAGGGGCTTCTGTGTAAACTGGATATGGGGAAGGCTGTGGAAAATATTTACTGGGACTTTATTGACTATATGCTTAAGAGATTTGGTTTCGGTTTGAAATGGAGAAAGTGGATCAAAACTTGCATTGCCACAACAAGTTTTGTTGTCATGGTCAATAGGGGCCCTTCCACTTTCTTTAAGGCTTCAAGGAGGTTAAGACAAGGTGATCCGTTATCTCCAATACTCTTCATCATGGTTATGGAAGCTTTGAACAAACTTATTGAACAATCTAGAAACTTGAACCTCATAAAAGGAATCAATGTGGGTAAAGAGAAGAATATTGAGATATCACGTTCATTCTTTGCCATAGACACTTTAATCTTTTGTCAACCCGATGTTAGCATGCTTCTCCTCCTAAGATGTGTTCTACTTTGTTTTCAAGTTGTTTTACGTCTAAGAATCAACATGTCTAAATCCATAATAATAATGGTTGAGACTGGGATCAATAATAATGTGGAACCTCTTGCCATGGTCTTGAAGTGCAAAACAGCAAAGCCTCCCATTATATTGTGGGATCTCTTTTGGTGCGAAACACAAAGATGCTAAATGTTGGGAGCCAATTATTGATATTTTCGATAAATGCCTAACCAGTTGGAAGATAAATTATTTGTCAAAGGAAGGGAGATTGACACTGATTAGAAACACTTTATCCAACCTCCCAACATACTTCCTTTTTGTCCTCACCGTTCTAGCTAATGTCGCCAAAAGCCTTGAGAAAATACAATGTAGATTCCTTTGGGAGACGATGAAAACAAGAAAAAATTCAATCTTGTCAATTGGGAGGAGGTTAAGACTCCCATCAGCTCTGGTGGCTTCATTCTGAGATCTATCAAGACTTTAAATAAAGCCTTGCATGGTAAATGGACATAGAGATATTGGAATGATAAAAACAGCTTGCGGAAAAGAATAGTGGACAGCAAATGGAATCTGAATGGTAGAAAAAACCAAAATTTGTTGGATCGAAGCAGGTATGGGGAGAGTTTGTGGTCAGACCCTTGGTGCGGAAACACAAATCTGCAATCCCGTTTCCCTCTCATTTATGATCTATCCAAGGACAAACATATGTGCATTGAGAAAACCTTTGACAAGAGCTATGGAAGGGGCTGGAATATCGTGCTGAACAGAATTCTAAATGATTGGGAGGTTGTGGAATTTGAAAATCTTATGCCATTATTGGAAACCACTTGAATTAACAACAATGATGACAAACTGATTTGGTCCTTGAATAACAATGGCTCTTTCAGTGTCAGATCCTTTTATAATCACATTAATGACTATAACAGAACGAACATATCAGTTTTCCCTGCAAAAATGATATGGAAGGCTGGTGCTCCACCAAGAATCTCCTTCTTTGCTTGGAAAGCTTCCAAAATTCGCATCCTAACTATTGATAATCTTATGAAAAGAGGCATTACTCTAACCAACAGATGTTTTTTGTGCAAAAATAATATTGAAACCTGTAACCATCTTCTACTCTGGTGCCCCACCACATATTTGTTATGGTCTATGGTCTATGGTCTA